GCTCCGGCAGGCTGTTACTCTCACTACAGTGCATTCCTCAGCTGTGCTTCTGGAGCCTGGGAGCTCAGGCATTCATTTTGGCAGCAGACTGCTGCTGTAGCTTTCTGTTAGCTCTAGCGTTACAAGTAACCTGAGAACCTTTGGATTATCACTGCATTCTAAAGAGGATTCATGGCAGTCTGCTTACTAATCTTTCCTGGTGGATAGAAGAAGAAAACTAAGAGTAAGACATCAAGAAAAGGAAAAGGGAAAAAAAAAAAAAAAAAAAAAAAGGTTTTTGCTGTCCATTCTTAGTAGCATCATAGCTTTTTTTCTTTTCAGATTATTTCGTTCCCTTCTTGATGAGAGAGATGTTACCTAGTTGCACTAATGGCAAAATGACATTGGACGTAAGGTGGATTAGATGTGGTGTGGTGTCACTCAGCTAAATTAATAAGGGATAAATTAAGATGCCACAATGCCAAGCACTGAAGAGTCTCATCCTAAAGTTAAAATCCAGAACTCCAAATCATCAAGCCATAAGACACTTTGGAACGGAACCCAAACAACCAGCCAACTGAGCAGAGAAGCTGAATTAAGAGGAAAATGCTGAAGGAAAGATGATAAATGAAAAAAAAAATTGCAACAGCTAAACTTCAGTGCCCCATCAGGCCATTGTTCCACAGCACAGTACCAAACTTAGACTATGCCAGCATTTCTTCCAAAGCCGGAATAAATGCCCTCTTGAGTACTATTGCCAGGTACGTAGTATTTGCAATGGTGTCAAACCTCATCCCACCCACTGTTGTAACACACATTTTTAACTAGAGCCTAGGGGAGACCGACTGACCTTCCTCTGAGACTGAAGGGGATTTTAGCCAAACACCTCCAATTCCTCAGTAGCACACCCCAGTCATGGTTGTGCTCACTCTTCACTCACATCCTATTCACTGGTCACAGAAGGTGGTTGGTGGAGGGAGCACTACTTGTGCCTTCCAACAAGTAAGGTGGGTGAAAAAAATGATGCTTCTAAGTTGTAGTCACTACTCCAAGAAATTCTCAGACATTTTACATAAAACATTCCCAGGGTAAAAAGCAGAAGTTTCTCCAGGTGAAGACAAAAGCATAAGATTCCCTTTCCCTTTCCTTTCCTCTCTCTACCTTGCCCACATTAATGTGCCATCTGTTATGTTGGACCTTATCCTTGCATTTGTTTTCCTGCCTCTGACCCATCACAAAGCAAATTTCCTGTATGAGTGCGCACGCGCACACACAAATTTGCCCATAACCAGTTATCTTTATAAGTACCTTCCACAGTAGCTTCCACAGAGTTTGATTTGGTGGCCAATTTATGAAAAAGACTTTTGTGTAGCTACCATACCAAGCTCTTCACAGATGGGCAAAAGGACATTAATTGCATAATCTTGATCAGACTAGCATGGGACCTGCTCAAGATTCAAACTTTTTGAGAATGGAAATAAATAGTATGTGTTAGGAACAATTTCCTAGGTAAAGAACAAAGTTGCACTTCTTGATGCAATTCTGAGACAAGAAAACATTTTGTGTTTTCCTGTTTCCTCCATGTTGCTATTTTTGGATATGGTTTTTTAAGCTAACTGTAATATCTCTGCATGCAAGTTAACTCAGAGCCAGAAGGACTGTGAAGTTCTGTTTCTTTTTCAAAGGATATTTATAATATACACAGATGTTAAGGTGATGAAGCCATAATACTTGTGATGGTCAGTGCAGAGATAGAAAATATTTGCTTTATAAATGTATGGCTTATTCTGGAAGGAAAACTATTTTTCAAACATGGCACTCAATATGCCAAAAAGCAGAGACACCCAGATATGATGTAATCTGTCAAACCAACCTGGTTCCTGCATCCATTAAGGGCACAACCAGATAAGATCTCCGTCCTTTTCTGTGGGCCAGCTACTTGTTTTGTTTTTCTTGCTCCTCTTAAATAATATACTAGTTTAAAGACAAACAAGACAGTTCCTAACTACCACAGGAAATGTAGGAATCACCTGTGATTATCTATGCCCTGTGCTATGAAAATCAGACTAGATGGCTACAACTGGCTGTCCTTACACTACACGTTCATGGATTTCCAGTGGATGACGTTATCAGACTATGATTAGATAAAAGACCTCTTGACAGAATAAACTAGCCTTGAGCATCTCTTCTAGGCATTTGAAGTGCAACCCAGCAATGCACTACACAAGAAAAGAAAGCCTCTTGTAAGCAACACACTGGAAAGTTAGTTTTGATTTCTACAGAAACAGAAGATTTTTTGTACACGTCTTGCAAAAAAGAATACAACTATAAAAAAATAAACCAATAGAAAAAAGAATCTATTTAACCTTTTCCAGGCTAAAGTGGATAGAGTATCAGATGGTCTGTTGAATTCACAAGTCATGTTTGTACGTTGTTAAGTCTCAAAAAGCAATGTCTGACAGTTAACCTTTAAGTCTGTTTTAGAAAACTTACCCATTACAATGACAAATGCAAAACTAGCCAGTGTCAGTGATGATCCACTGTTGATCATGTTGATGAGCAGCTTGAATAAAGGGTATAGCAGCAATAAGGCCCAGAAAAGCCAGTTCAAAAGCGTCCATGGTCGTCGGGGTGGTACTATAGGGACTGCTGGGTAGGTTCCTGTTCTGTAGTACTTTTCCTGGAATGCATCCTAGTAGAACAAAGGAGAACAATTAATTCCTCATCTGACAAAAAAAATAGCCATTCCTGATTCTGACGTTTCTCCTTCTACATGCTTGTAACGATGGAGGAAGACCAAAGACTGAGTTTTGGCTGCAAAGCATGTACTCTGAAGTTACTGACCATACAGCCCAAGAAAAAAGAGCTTACATTGATGCACACATCTCTTCCTTCTCCTACACATAGAAGCTTGAAAATGGCATGCCTAGAGAGTGTAACAAGCCTGATAATACAAGAGGAGTGAGAGGATGTATAGTCCTGCATCAATGCAGTCATTGCTGTTGAACATCCTCCAACAGCCACAGCCACTGGTCAAATACTGCTGGTAAGTTGGATAAGTGTTGGGGCTCCATCTCCAGCAGCAGATCCTCTGTTCTTTCATGTTTTCTCTAACCACTGTTCTAAAACAGCATTCACAGCCCTGTGGGAAAAGGTGAGCAGACACCACCTTGTCCCATACTCCAAAGAACACCACCTCCTCCTGTCTCATTCCCATGAAGCTTACAGAAGGAAGTCTGGGTGCTGAACCTCTCTACAGATAGATGAGCATGCGAACAGTTTAGCATCTTGCACTGGTTTTAACCCTTTTAATATAATATAAGGAAAATAATGGAATGTGGTTTGTGGTTTTTTTGTTTGTTTTGTGGTGTATGTGTTATTTAAAGCACAGAAGATTTAGAATTCAGCACGTTCTCTGGAGCCCAAACAGGTGAATGGCACTGCCCTTAACAGTGGGATGAACCCAAGGTATCAAGCTGGGTAAGGAGAAAAACTTTCCCTTCTGGTTGAAAAACAAAGATTATTAATCTGTGTTATCACATAAAACTCGTGAATTAATGAAGTCAGAATTAGACTGACATAAAAAGGAACATAAATTTATTGAGACTCAAGTGTTAAATTTTTTCAAAGAAAGCAATGCTTCACAACAGTTTCCAAAAATTGTGACAAAGCCAAGATTGTCCTAATCAACCACAAGATTATTTCTACTATGCTCTGATTTTACATTTACTTACACTCCAGCTGACACAGACAATTCTTTAATTATTTAACGACAACTTGAGCAATTACAGGCTGCTACCATTTTATCTAATTCAAAGAGAACATTTAGCTTTTAAGAGATTACACAGTAATTAAAACATTACACTCTCTTTATCAAGATTAGGAATATTATTACTGTTTTGTGCATGAGAGCTAGATTGTACTGAGATCATTATGGCAAATTAATTAGCTGTCTTCACAGTGTATGAAGTTTTCTTTACAATGCCTCGAGGATTTTGGTTTATGACTGGTTTAACACAGAGCTACTAATCATTAGGAAATCGAATTCTACTATACAAGGTTAGGTTTCCAAATGCCGGTACTACCCAAAAAAGTTAAGAATTTCTGACAATTACTGGTATCGCCATTAGGGGGCCTATTGCTACAGAGAGCAAGACAGACTCAAAAACAGCTCTGCATTTTTATTTTCGTGGGCTCTGCACAGCATTGGGGGCAGCAAAACTGACCACATCTCACCAAGAGGTTTGAGATAGATGGAAGAAATATACAACAGGCAACACAATGTCAATGCCATCGCCTCAACTCTATGTTTCACACTGTTGTGTAGAAGAAGCTCTTCAGTTATCATTCCTCACCCTTAAAAACACTCACATTCCTTGCAGAAGAGATCTGTTGGTTGATCTGTCTTCTAATTTATTGCAAGGGGTATCTGTGGTACCCAGCAACAGCTCAAGGCAGGATTTAAACTCATGCTGTACATAAAAAATTTCCTTCTCTCTCTTCCCCCTGATTAAGTTCCTTCCATTCCTTAGCACACAGAGCTTCTTTTCAGTTTGTAATCAATCACACCCACTCAGGTATCATATTCAGACATAGAAATGTGCTTCCTCTAATGCCCCCACCTCAGACACTGGAGTGGGTAATGCACTGCAGGAAAATCAGGGAACACCTGTCATCTTGTGAGAGGTTTCTTCCTGCTCCAACCAGGGAGGTCTGTATGCAGAGGTATGCCACTGCCCTTTCATGAGGAAGCCCCCAAAGAATGAGTATCCAAAAATACATCCTTTGTTTCCAAACACAGGAGTTCTATACACTTCCCTGCTTCAGTTATGCTCTTTTGGTTCCCTGCGGCATTTTGGCATGTATTTTCATGCTCTGTTTTCCATGCTTCACATATAAGTGAGAAGAGTTCAAGCTCACTTCCTTTTAAATGGAAATTAAGGTTTTCTAGCAGAACTTCTCTTTCAGAAGCTGAGGCTGCAAGGAGGTGAAAACAGCAAACAAACATGCAAGGGCTAGGAGACTTGTGGCTATTATTACAGTACCTCTTCAGACCAGACACTGAGATGCTCAACCTGGTCCTTGTTGAAGTCAAAAGAGAGTCTTTCTAGCAATGGCAGCTTAAAAAAAAAGGCAATGCATAACCCAGGTTGCACCTTCATCATAATTTGGCATCAGCTGATACAGTGCTGGCCATCTGTGGAAGGGCAAAATTCACCCCAGGTGAGGAAGAAGCATGTGGACATTGTGCTTACTGTAAGCCTGGAAAAGGAAAGAGTACAGTGTTTGGTTTAGAACAGCACGGGGCCATGTTTATCTGGCAAGGCCCTGCCTTTGCAGCACTGGCTAAACCAGAAAAAAAGAAAAGTGATAACTAGCAAGAACATAAACATACCAGGTTCTCAGAAAGCAGTATCTCAGACTGAGGCAAATGTAACTTATATCAGGCAATGAGGTAAAAAACAACAGAACAAGCTTTTCTCAAAGACTCTCACTCCTTCACTAATGATAATAATAATAATAAAAAAAAAAAGTTATGTCCCTAACTGCTGATTTCATTGCTCATTCAAACAGCTTTGTGCCCCTGACCATCACGAGTGCATGGCACTCCAGCCTTGACCTCAGTCCCTGTGGCATGTCCCACTTACTACATCATGCTCCTGGAGTGGAATTCAGCACCCAGTATGTGCGCCTTGAGAAGGTAGTGCAAATTATAAAAATCACTGAGAATAAGCAACAGCACATGTAATCATAATGCAAGATAAAACAGGGCTGTGTTTTCCAGCAGCATGCATACCTTGTCTTATATTGAAACAGAAAGTGGAGCACTGCAACCAAAATAGACAAAGCAGGGGATGAGTGTGTATCTTGCAATTAATTACTGCCCTTCAAATGCACATTTGTTACATTCTGTCATAAATATTTACTGACTTGGAAGACATTAATCTGAAACAGTTCAATTTTGGAAACAACACCAAAGTAACTATGCTGCTTAGTATCCAATCTAAGAGCCAATTATCTTTTTGAAAAATGCATTGCAGAAAGGTGAAGCAGAACTGCATTTTTACCCTGGAGGAGGGCTTTCCCCATCTCAGAACTCTTGAAGAAATTGTCCCTGCTCTGTATTCTCCAAGTCTGATTTTACAGAGACATGGGCCTGTGTAAATCAGGAATGACTGCAATGAAACAACTTTCACTAACATAAAACAGATGTAGGAGGAGGCATTCACCTTCAGAAAACAAACAAAACCACCACCAAACAAAAAAAAATCTAAACCAATTAAAAAAATTGCCACACAACCAAAAAAGCTGTAATGGAAAGGAACAAACACTCCTTCCTCCTGTGCTTAAATAGGAAACTATGGATTTAACCAACCAGGAAACTCAGTTGCTACGAAGAAAGCAGGATAGTTATATGCTCTTTTTGCACTAGAAATAACTGAATGTTCGCCAAAGAGGGAGTAACAGAAAATATTTAAAGTGATTTACTGCAAACTGTGTAATAAGGGATTCAGGAAAACAATCAACACATTCTTATTTGATTTATGTTCTTGCAGATGACTGAACATTTGTCTGAAACATAAATCAGGGTTACATACAGTTATAGTAGCAGAAAGTGAACTTTTGCAACGTTCAGCAAAAGAGTAATTTGCATTTATATGCCTATATGTACCCATCCCACAATGCACTCCTGCTG